TCTCACTGGTCTCAATACACACTGACAAAGGAGGACATGAATTCGACTGGGACAATGCATCCATAATAGCACGAGCCAAACAGACACATGCCAGGGAATTCCTGAAGGCCTGGCATTCCAATTAGAACTCCATCAACACATTCAACTGGTACCAATACACAAACCACTGAAAAACCGAACCGGAAGTAATGCCAACCATGGCATATAAATAACAAGCAAGACAGAACACCAACACTTCACCGGAGATGCACCGACAATGTTACCTAGCAGGGTGACGAAACGTCTGAAACCAAACACACCAGCTCGGCGAGAAAGTTTAAACCTCAAACCCTGGCAACATCCTTGTAAATCTTCTGAACCTTTTCAAGTTTCACAACATCCTTCCTGTAGCAGGGAGGCCAAAACTGTATGCAGTATTCTAAAAGTAGATTAACTGAATGTCCTATACAGCTGCAACATGACCTCCCAACTCCTATACTCAATCCATTGGCCAATAAAGGCAAGCATACCAAACACCTTCACATTATCCTATTACCTGCAACCCCACTTTCAAGGAACTATGAACGTGCACTCCAAGATCTTTGTTCAGCAACACTCCCCAGGACCTTACCATTAAGTGTATAACTTGTATTTGCCTTTCCAAAACACAGCACCTCACATTTATCTAAATTAAACTCCATCTGCTATTCCATTGTCCATAGGCCCATCTGATCAATGTCCCATTGTACTCTGGAAGTAACTTTCTTCACTGTCCACTACACCTCCAATTTTTGGTGTCATCTGCAAATTTAATAACCGTACCTCATGCATTCACATCCAAATCATTCACATAAATGACAAAAAAAAAAAAAAAAAAAAAAACCAGTCGACCCAACACTGATCATTGTTGCACACCTTTGGTCGCAGGTGTGTTGCGCTGTGGATATCATTACAGCAGATACGTTTTAAGAGTGTATTTGCATATTGTGTTTTAAAAGTAGCATTTAAAACAATGAAAATACATATAATTGAAATGCTGCAATTTGGTCTTCATTGCATATATTCATTTTAAAAGAATAGACTGACATTTATGGAAGCAGCTCAAGTTTTACTGAACTGTTTCAGAGGAATACAATTGAATTCACAGTGCCCTTCAAATTCATTATACTGATGGGAATTCACCCTATTTTGAGCCAAGTATCAAATCTAAAGATCACTCTTCTGGGAACTGAAGGAAACAAGTCTAAGTAAGCAAACATCAAAAAGATAAAAGTTAGAGAGGCCTGGATTTTGCGCAAACCATTCTGTACTGTAAACATTATCAATGATATTAAGATTAAAACTATCAATTTTAGGAAGAATGGATGTTCATACATCTTCTCATGTGTTGACAAATTTGAGAATGTGGCCAGCTTATTTTTGAAAAATATTGATGTGGATTTCAGCATCACTTATGCCAACTGATGTCATTTTTCCTCATTTAAATCTGCACAAACTACATTGAAAGTGTCAAGATTCAATAGTCTTCAACTGTCAACAACTTTTTTGGTTATGTTTTGTTTTACATAACATTATTACACATTAAGAGGATTCACTGCACAAAGCACTTTATGACAGTTTACCATGACAGATTACTCTGGTTTCTGTAGCAGCTTTAGTCTTCGAAATCACTTACCACTTGACTAAGGTCGTATCCCCACGGCAGGAAAAGAATCCCTGTGTTGTACTTCTCCCAGTGGGAAAGTATGAAGGAGAACAGCACCACCCACAGAATGAAGAAGAGCGTAAGGACACTGACACCTGCCTCCCCACGTCCAAAGATGGAATAGACAGTGACTACAAAAAATATACAGGCCCAGCTGTCCAAACCATGGTCAAAGAGCTCTCCAAGTGGAGTGCTCGAGCTGGTCCGGCGAGCTTGCTTCCCATCAACTCCATCTGTTAGAAATTGATATGGAGACAGGTTCAGTATTTGGATCACCACAGCATTTGTCAAAATGAAATGGAACTTTGTTTTATAAGCATGTATTTATAAGTCTCTAATCTGGCTATAAAGCCATCATCACAAATGTCTTTCATCACTGGGTTGTGCAAATAACTGGACAGCTAATGGAAGCAATGTTGCATAGAATGTACATCTTTGGACAAAGGCAACCTATATTCAACCTTTCTTGAATGTGGTAAAATGTCTCAAAGAATTTCAGAGTGAGTAATATTATAAAACAGAATTTGACTGAGCACCTAAAGAGTTATGATTGAAAAGGTATATGACCAAAAGCTTGGTTAAAAGAGTTAGACTTTAAAGATTATCTTCAAAAGGAGGACAGAGAATTTGCGACACAGACGTTTAGGGATGGAATTTGATTTTGGAGTTTTGACATCTGAAAGCAAGGCCACCAGCAATACAGCATTTAAAACTGGAATGCCCAAGAGTCGTGGCGAGCTAGAAGAGATTATATGGATGAAGCTGTGGAGAATTTGAAAACTACAATGAGAATTTTAAGAAAGATGTCTAACTGGGAGCCAATTTGGTCAGCCAGAAATATCTCTATTTTCCATTCTGTAGCAACTCCATGCCAATAATCCTCAAAACCATTGCCAAATGCAAAAACCAACAAATTTTAGTGTTCAGAATTTTAACAAACTTAGCAAGAGCTACTTGGAAAATATTTCAAATTTTCACTACCCTTTCAGGAGTGCTTTCTGTTATTACTTCAGAACAGCTTAGCTCTAATTTTACAATTACATTCCTAAATTCTTAACTTACTGGGGATCATTAAGCAGGCCAGCATTTCTTACCCATCATTAATCGTTCATGAGAGGATGAACCACTGGTGTTCAGGAGGCAGCTCCAGGATTTTCACCCAGCAACAACGAAGGAATCGTGATACAATTCCAAGTCAGAGCAGTGCATGGACTGGAGAAGGACTATCATGTCAGGGTGTTCTCTCATACCTACAGCCTTTGTCCTTCTAGGTCATGCAGATTGTAGGTTTAGAAGGTGCAGAAACCTCAGTGTGTTACCATTGTGCATCTTGCATATGGTACAGACTGCTGCCACTGTACATGTCAATGGTGAAGGAAGTGAACAGAGGTGGTAGTGGTGGATGGGATCCAAATTATATGCATTGCTTTCTCCTGGCTGGTATCAAGCTTCAAAATGTTGCTCAAGCTCATTCATCCAAGGAGATGGAGAGTATTTCATCACATTCTGACATGATGGTGCAGACTTTGGGGAAATAAAAGGCAAATTGTCACAGAATTCCTAGCCTCTGACCTGCTGTTATATCTGGTGTTTATATGACTGGTCCTATTCAGCTTCTGATCGATGGTCCAGATTTTGTTGCATTTGGACACAGACAGCTTCAATATCCAAGTAGTTACTAATGCTGCTGAGCATTATGCACTGGCCAAGGAACATCCCATTTCCGACTGGAATATGGTAGGAAGGTCTTGAACAAGCAGCTGACAATAACTGGGTCTATCACACTACCTTCAGGAACTGCCACACAGTTATGTTCCCAAACTGCTCCTTCTCTTCCTGTGCTCTGACAGTGCTTCCCCATCCCAGGTTCCTACCTCTGTTTTACTTCGTCAAATGTTCCTATCTGCCTCTGCACTCTTGGTGCTTTCTCTCTCATCTCCTATCAAGAATATCCCAGACTCAAAGTAAGCAAGCAGATCCATATCACTGATACTTGGAAAGAAATACCTGTTTTCTTATAAAGATTATTCAAAATCTACTTGCAGCACTTGCTTATTAAAAAAGTATTAGCTTCTTGGTCAGATGAGGTTCTATTCAAAAGGATCTTTCGACCAAAACAGTTTGAGAACCACTGACCTAATGTATATGCCATGAAGTTCAGCAGACCAGCAGCAATCCATACCCAACTTGGAACATGTGTATAACCTGAACCTGCAAGACAAAAAAAACAAAACAAAAAACAGGGAGGGGAAAGAGAGAAAATGTACTCAATCTCCAATATGACGTCAAGACTTAAGCATTTGCTCAATAGAATGTTTCACTAACTCCCTAGAAATCATTATCTGCATTTTGCCTTGAAACAGAAGAATTCAATTACCTGCTTATTTTCTCCCAAATTTAAACAGGGAGAAAGTAAGGCATTTCATGTGAAAAGTAACCACTGTTACCTTCAGTATAAAAAAAGACTGATATTACTCTGTTTACAAGTCAACTCAAATGGGCAATAAAACAACTGCAGATTCCAAACAGCACTGAGAAAGTGTTAAAAAAAAAAAACCTGAAAACACTGACCCACTTTTGCCGAGGCCAGACGCTAACTCTCCGACACCACCTCCTGCCGCCCCCTTGATCATGACCCCACCCCCGAGCACCAAACCATCCACAACCTCATCACCTCAGGTGACCTCCCACCCACGGCCTCCAACCTCATCGTTCCCCAACCCCGCACCACCCGCTTCTATCTCCTTCCCAAAATCCACAAACCTGAATGCCCTGGTCGACCCATTGTCTCCACCTACTCCTGCCCCACTGAACTGATCTCCAACTATCTGGACTCCATTTTCTCCCCCTTGGTCCAGGAACTCCCTACCTACGTCCGTGACACCACCCACGCCCTCCACCTCCTCCAGAGCATCCAATTCCCCGGTCCCCAACACCTCATCTTCACCATGGACGTCTAGTCCCTATACACCTGCATTCCCCACACAGATGGCCTAAAGGCCCTCCGCTTCTTCCTGTCCCGCAGGCCCGACCAGTCCCCCTCCACTGACACCCTCATCCGCTTAGCCGAACTTGTCCTCACCCTCAACAACTTCTCTTTCAATTCCTTCCACTTCCTACAGACAAAGGGGGTGGCCATGGGTACCCGCATGGGCCCAAGCTATGCCTGCCTCTTTGTAGGTTACGTGGAACAATCCCTACACTGGCCCTAAACCCCACCTCTTGCTCCATTACATTGATGACTGTATTGGCGCCGCCTCGTGCTCCCACGAGGAGCTCGAACAGTTCATCCACTTCACCAACACCTTCCACCCCAACCTTAAGTTCACCTGGACCATCTCTAATACCTCTCTCTCGTTCCTGGACCTCTGTCTCCATCTCAGGCAACCACCTAGAAACCAATATCCATTTCAAGCCCACGGACTCCCACAGCTACCTAGAATACACCTCCTCCCACCCACCTTCCTGCAAAAATGCCATCCCCTATTCCCAATTCCTTCGCCTCCGCCGCATCTGCTCCCAGGATGAGGCATTCCACTCCCGTACATCTCAGATGTCCTCGTTTTTCAACGACCGCAACCCCCCCCCCCCCTCAGTGGTTGAGAACACCCTCAACCGTGTCTCCCACATTTCCCGCAACGCATCCCTCACACCGCATCCCCGCAATAACAACCATAAAAAAACCCTCGTCCTCACGTACCACCCCACCAACCTCCAGATCCAACACACAATCCTCCGACACGTCCGCCATCTGCAATCCGACCCCACCACCAAAGACATCTTTCCGGAGAGACCACTCTCTCCGTGACTCCCTTGTCCGCTCCACACTCCCCTCCAGCCCCACCACACCTGGCACTTTTCCCTGCAACCGCAGGAAGCGCTACACCTGCCCGCATACCTCCTCCCTCACCCCCATCCCAGTCCCCAAGACTTTCCACATCAAGCAGATGTTCACCTACATATCTGCTAGTGTGGTATACTGCATCCGCTGTACCCGTTGTGGCCTCCGCTACATCGGGGAAACCAAGTGGAGGCTCGGGGACCGCTTTGCAGAACACCTACGCTCGGTTCGCAATAAACTGCACCTCCCAGTCACGAACCATTTCAACTCCCCCTCCCATTCCTCAGACGACATGTCCATCCTGGGCCTCCTGCAGTGCCACAACGATGCCAACCGAAGGTTGCAGGAACAGCAACTCATATTCCGCTTGGGAACCCTGCAGCCCAATGGTATCAATGTGGACTTCACAATCTCCCCTCCCCCCACCGCATCCCAAAACCAGCCCAGCTCGTCCCCACCTCCCTAACCTGTTCTTCCTCCCACCTATCCCCTCCTCCCACCTCAAGCCACACCCCCATCTCCTACCTACTAACCTCATCCCGCCCCCTTGATCTGTCCGTCCTCCCTGGACTGACCTATGCCCTCCCTAACTCCCTACCTACACTCACCTTTACTGGCTCCATCCCCGCCTCTTCGACCTGTCTGTTTCCTCTCCACCTATCTTCTCCTCTATTCATCTTCTATACCCCTCCCCCTCTATTTCAGAACCCCCTTCCCCATTTCTGATGAAGGGTCTAGGCCTGAAACGTCAGCCTTTCTGCTCCTATGATGCTGCTTGGCCTGCTGTGTTCATCCAGCTCTGCACGTTGTCTCGGATTCTCCAGCATCTGCAGTTCCTACTATCTGATTCAATTTTAATCAGCCAACCACTTTTTTAATACACAAATTAAATACTTGAACTTTAGTCTATGTTGTGATAATAAAAAGACTTCCAAATGTCAAGTGGAAAGAAAAAAAACTCTGTAGGCACAATTTTAAGGTGTTGGTCAGCTAACTGAAGCATTAGCAAAGTATTGAGGAGCATATGGTGCCGTTAAAGACTGAACATGAAGTCATTCACAAGCCTCTGCTGTCAAAAGATATTTCAGGAACCCGCTTCTTGCCCCTGTACCTTTCACATATTTAGAAAGTTTAAACAGGAGCGACAAAATTGCAACTGCAAGGGATTTGTTAATATCAAATCCAAAAGAAACAAAAAAAAAAAAAACAAACAAAAAAGGAAAGAAAATGGGGCAGGAGTTGAGGACGGGGACAAAAGGGGGCAAGAGATATTGCTTCAGCTAGCAAAAGAAGTTGAAAAATAGGGAGAACTAAGTTGTCCAGAGAGAACATTTTACATCAGCTAAAGCAAAAAAAATCATGTGAAAGTAGTCATATTAGTGGATACAGTTTAGAAATTAAGGCTATAGAAAATTGTCACCTCTATCAAGTCTGCTAAAATTAATTCAGCTGTAAACAATAATGACTAATGTGTCACAAAATGAAAAAGAGGTTTGTGGCATTTTCACATGTCAGCAACATGGATTCAGTTATAAAATTTTCAAGTATAAACACTAAAAGCTAGCACATCTACAGCATACAAGAATGCAAGTTAAGGAAAAATTCATTCGCTTGTAGAAGAAGTTATTATAGCAAATATAATAATTTGAAAGCAATGACAGAAGGAGCATCAAGTTCTTACTCATTTTATGAGCAAGGACGGATTTAGTTCTCAGTTCTTCCAAAAAAAAAAGTGATTGGTTTGTCCGTCAACAGCAGAATCAACAGAACAGCAATATAGCTATGAACACGCACTAATGACATTACCATCTCATAAGTAGAGATTAGAGTTGCCTAGTGTCCCACAGTTGACCTGGTCAACAACCTAGCACTCAACCTGCCTGATCAAGGCCAGCAGAATATCAGGCACAACTCCGATCTAGAGACAAAAGTCGGATATTTCATAATTGAGAAGTAGATTACGACCCTTCATTGTTAGTCACTTGAAATAATCTATGATGCAAACAAAAGGTACTTTGTGGGCTTATTAATTCAAATTGCATCACATTGGTGCCTACAGGCACAAGTCATGTAGCTCCTTGTATTGATGGCGCATGGCGCATGGCACACCACACACACACGGCAATCTGTAAACAGCAATGTTTTCTGTTCTCTCAGCCAACCAAGAACCTTCCTAACTACATTTTATAGATTTCAGTTCCAGGCCTCAGACATAAATCTTGCAGTCTCCTGTTGAAAACCCAACTTTGTGTCTTTTCATTCGGTTCTCAGCCATGAGCACCAGTTGAGATATTGCCCGGATATCTATTAATAATTTGGAATAAAGGCCATTGATAATACGTCCTTCGTTAGAGTTGATGGTTTGGAAAACATCCACTATAATCAAAATAAGGAGGGACTAAGACACATTCAATGTTCATTTTACTCAATAACCAACTGTGACCTTTGATAAACGGCCAATCTGGTTTTAATGCATACCTTCAATACTTGTGACTAGTTTTTGTTTGAATGTAAGAATGTGCACATTCACCTTGCTTCAAAATGCAACACCAACATCAGATAATCCCAGAACCTTTTCCCATGATGGGTTAAAAAACAAAGAAAAATGAAATCCTGCAATTGGAGTCTTGCCTATTTGAGGTAGAAACATGCAAGGCCTTGTAGTTCACAGCCAGGCTAGGGGCAGTTGAGCTATTCGTTAGGTAACTCTGCCCTTTCTACACAATTGAGCACAGGAGCAGCACTCACTGAAGCAATTAGAGCAGACTTCACAACAACTCAAAACCCTTCCCAATTGCTCACAAGTACACCACATGAAAATAGATTTAATGCAAAAAAAAAAAGTAGGAATCACCAAGTGCAGGAATAATATGTCTATTAGGCAGCTGCCAATGCATAAATATGTAGTTACTTAATATGCATTTCAATAATTCTGGATATATAGCTCCATGCAAGCCAAAATGTATTTTTGTATGGAGGTCTGCAGTTAGCATTAACATAATAAATGCAATGCAAAAGCCAGCAGCCATAAGAGCAGCTATCTTCCACCTAGAGGAAATTAATTTCCTCTGGTCGTAAATCAAGTTGGTTAAGTTTCTCTCCATTACCCAGATCCCTTAGCCAATCAAGGCCTCTTAAAATGCACTCAGCGACTTGAACTCCACAGCCTTCTGTGGCAGAGTGCCACAGATTCCTTCTGCCTGAAAAAAGTCCTCCTCATTTCAGTTCTAAAGGGTCATTTCTTTCACTCTGAAGCTGTGCCCTCTAGTCCTAGTCTCTCCCACTAGTGGAGACATGTTCTTCACATCCACTCTACCTAGGCCTCTCAATATTCTGAATGTCAATCAAATATCCTTCATCCTTCTAAACCCCAAATACAGACCCAAAGTGCTCAGCTGCTCCTCATGTGACAAGCCCACAAGTTTTAAAGACTCTTGGTGTCAAAGGGAATTCTGTGAAGTAACAGGTCACGTGTGTAATGGGACAACAAAATATTTGAGCAGTTTCCACTATATTTAAAAAAAAAACAGAAACCAATCTCTTACCTGAAGCATAAAAATCATAGTCAAAATAGGCCAACATACAAAAGTTAAGCACAAGTAGCACGAAACCAGAGAACGTCAACAGATTCGGTGCCAGCCACGTAGGTAAAATCTGTAAAAGCAAAGAAAAATTGCTAAGTAGGGAGATTAGAAAGGTAGGTTAATCAGTGTTTATAATAAGTTTAAATTTTCTAATCTGAACATAGAACATAGAACATTAGGCCAGTTCAACTTCCATTATTTTTTTCTCTCCATATCATAAAGTAACATACTCTTACATTCTTATATAAGAAACAAATAGCAAAGATTGTCACTGGTCATTCTCAGCAGCTGGATCGTCAGGAAATACCTCAATATCTGTGATACCCAATTCCACTGTCCCCAATACGGCCTCACCTTTCCACCATAGATCATAAAGCTGCTATTACTGAGCAAAATTCAATGAAACCTACAGGTACCCCACAGACAGAAGACTCTGACATGGAAGAAAACTCAGGAATTATCTTTAATAAATTATTATTTTACAAGGAAATCTGGTGCAAAGTCTCCTGTGGAAACTATTTTTAACTAAATTTAGTATGTATACCTAATGCCACAATGAAAATAAAAAGATACTACACAAGAATCCAGGAATACTGAAAGTTGGTAGTAATGTGCTCTTACCTTAACTACAGAGTTCCAGAATGGGTGCATAACATATACAGACAATGGATTGGTGTCCACTGCACTATACTGCAAAGAAAATAAACAGACAAAATTCGTGCATGTACTTGTATAAAATCAGAATGTATTTACAAATACAGACTTTTAAAGTGACAAAACAAAAAGATAGCTATTGCATTATCTGAGCAAAATAAGGCTTCTCTAACTAAACTTTGCTAAATTGATCTTCTATTTCAGATTTAAATAAATGTCAGTGTTCAAGGTGTGAATGAAGTGATACACTGGCTAGTGTGACCACCACAAATAGCAGGGATGTGCTCAGTCAAATGATTGCTGTACTCGTGGGGAAGGGGATTTAAGTATCAGATCAACTTTTGCTTCTTCAATTACAAATGGCATACAATTCACCTCATCCAGAGTAGTTGCAATCAAGGACCAGTAATTCAAAGCCACGGTTACCGGTAATTTAAAAAGGCTCATGGTAAAGTGATTAATAAATTTAGTTATCAACTATTAGTTTCCCACATTTGAATCTGGCCACTACTCTTCTTTTAAAAAAAAAGTGAAAAATCTGTTCAAGAATGGCAAACTATGCTCAAATAAAACAAAAACAAAACAAACAAACACTACAAAATGCAGGAAATACTCTGCAGGTCAGAAGGATGGAATCAGACATCACAATTCGAGTGGCGTGTTTCAGCATTATGTGGCTTTCTATCAAATTTACAACATCCTTTAGTTTTGGATCATATACTTTATGATACATCATTCAGAACTGCAAGATGCTGGAAATGGAAAAGCTTAAAAATCAGAAAAATCAATTTTTAAAAAATTATTTGTTAATGAGGGCATCACTGGCTAGATCAGCATTTATTATCTAACTCCGATTCTCTACAGGGCAGTTAAGAATTAACCACATTGCTGTGGGTCTGCAGTCACACGTAGGCCAGACCAGGTAATGATGGCATTTTCCTTCCCTAAAAAGGTCATGAACCAGATGGGTTTTTCTCCCCCCCCAACAATTGGTAGTTAGATTCTTAATTCCAATTTTGTTCACAACTGAATTCAAATTCCACCATTCGCCATGGCGGGAATTGAACCTGCATCTCCAGAACATTACGTGGGCCTCTGGATTAACAGTCCAGCAATAATACCATGAGACCACTGCCTCCCTTCATCTTCAACCATCTAACAGGTGACAGGCCACAACGAAAGTATCTTTAAAAGTTTCAATTAAAAAAAAAGTGATTTGTGTGAACTCTTGAAAAAAAAACAGTACACCCCAAAGACTGGCAGAAGAATGATTTGAGCTGGAGCATGTACACAGGATGGTCAAGGAGAACTGAAAATTCTTGTGTAACAAGTACAGGGGTGGGGTTCTGCTATAAACACAGCAATGCAAACCAGCTGTAAACTTGACTGACGAATAGGGGAAAGCTATTTCTAAAACACAAACCCAGTTGGCTAAAAACGCAATTCCATTAGTGCGCAGAGGAGTACACGTCACATGATCGTTTTGCAGGCTTCATTCAGTGTTCTTCAATTTTGGAAGAGATTTAACATCAAGAATGCAATTGACATTATTGTGCAGGCCTGGAGTCACGTCAATAAGGACTGCTTGCATGCAACTTGGCAGACACTTCTCCCAGATTTCATTTGTTTTTTTAAGATTTTGAAGGCTTTAGTCCGTCAGAGGTGCTCCCAAGAATCAGAACATTATGTTGATCTTGCAAAGTAAGTTGTATCTGAAGAAGTGGAGTGAGGATATTGAAGGACTGTTTGTGTCCCACTGTGAAGACCTCTCTACAGCTGATCTACAACAACTTGTCACTAAGGGGCAAGTGGAAGCTGGAGATGAAGATGATGATGTCCAGGATGCAGCACCACGAGAGCTTTCGACTTCTGTTGTGTCTTCTATCCTGGAGGGAAATTGAGAAGCAGCTGCAGCTCCTAGAGGACAATGATTACAATGCAGAATGCAGCAGGGTAGCAGTTAGTGAAATAAAATCTTATTTGGCACCCTACGAACAGCTTGTTCATCAAAGCAGAAAAAAGGGCAAAGCAGCAAAAACAGAATGTCTTTTTTTAAGCCAACTCCCAAGAAACAATGAACCACAGCCATCTACTTCTGCATTAATTTTTTTTTTGCAGTGACGGTGACAGTGGGGATGGTGACGATGACAAACCTCAGTCCCCGCATTAACAACAGAGCAACCTCAAAACCTTCTCCCCCATCAAGTAATTTTGGCATTTTTTCAAGGTAAGGTGTTAAATTTACTTTTACTTCATTATTAGCTATGAATTAAACATTTATTCAAACTGTGCTAGGCTTTTGAATGATTTTTGAGCAACCGAGTGATTTTTTTTTTCCGGTAGTCTGCCCCAACCCCACTTTTCCCCACACGCCCCGTTATTTCTATGGCACGATTTTCTATAACTCGATGTTGCGCAGGGACGCACCCATCGCATTATAGCAGAACGCCTTATATTAAGCCTGAGAAAAATGAGATTCTATAACAGGAAAAAGAGCAATAGTAAATACACATTAATGCTCAAGCTCTGCTCAAGTTCAAAATCACATGAACAACGGAAGTTCCTACTCTTCACACTCCTATTCACTTTTCACTCCATGAAGTTCTTTATTTCTCAGTTTCTACTTTGACAAAGGGTTCAAATCTTTGCAACTTTTGTCTGACTTGCTTATTTGTAGAATTTGCGGTTTTTCCCCCTAAACTTGCAGCACTTAAACTTTTCAAAATGTTCACAACACTTGGCTGATAAAATTATGACAAACCATGATAAATGACCGGGAGTGGCAATAAAGCCCTGTGAAGCATCCAGAAAGGAGAAATGAAGTGCCCAGAAATTTGTCAGAGGATTCTTCAGGTCATTGGAATAAGTTAACCTTGACTAAAATAACCAGAGCAGTTATGTACCAGCACAATTCTACCAATTTGAGGGAGCACAACAACTTGTTCCCCCCCGCCCTGCAGAGCTGCAATATTTAATTGGAAACTATTCCAATCAGTTGTTACTTCGTATCCCCATCTCAAATTTTGAAACACCAACTTTTACTGCATGCCAGCTCCAGGCCAAAATCCTGCTGCTCTACCAAAAACTCAGCAGGTTGAGTGTCGTATCAGTAAATTTGTCCAAAATGTTGTTATTCACATTACCACAATAAGTCTCACTTATTGTCACCTGAATGCTCATTATTTCTCTCTCCTGGGAGATGGTTTGGAATCTTTTCTACATTAACAAGGTGCAGAGAGGAACTGAAATAGCTGTGTCTAATACAAACCTTGTTACACTTGCAATGAGTGTCATTGACTAGTATTAAAAAAAACACAACTAGGAACAAAGTGCCTTTAAGCTTCGAACTCTGGTCAATTGTCTCAATTCTGAGGCTATCAAGGTCAAATAAATCTGAGTCTTATGGCTTGCGATAAAATAAATATCAGAAGTTAATTCTTTTAAGACAAGTGCATACAAAAGGGTGTCATCAAATTTACGTCGATAGCTTTTGATCTGGTCAATAGATACCTCATTAGAAAATTAATCCTGTGTGTCAAGGGCCTAGATGAATGATTTCACCCCTGCTGTTGAATTTAAGTTAAAATAATTAGGTCTGGAATAAAAAGCTTGCATCAATAGTGGTAATTATGTCATAAGAATTCATCTAGTACACCAATATCCTCCCATCCACAATGATCCCTGGTCCACAAAATGGTTTACTCAACTGCCTGAAAAAGCCACTCCATTAAGGAAACTTAGGAATAGACAGTAAAAACACCCACATTCCATGCATGAATTTAAAAAAAAAACAACTTTGAACTGTATTGTAATATCCCCACAGATAATTCTATGAATAGGTGATCTACTAATTGCATTGCTCATTGAACTTGTATGGAAAAATTTGGTAATTTCAGCAGGCAATCCTGCCAACAAGTTGTTGGCAGCGTAAAATTACACATGCGACACAAACTGAAAATAGCAATGCTGAAGTAATCGCAAAGATGCACCTTGCTTTTTTTTGTGTTTCAGTTAATTTTCTAAAAGTATGAAAAAAAAGAATACTGACCTCTCTCCCCACAAATTCTGCATAACTTGCTAAGCATCTCAAGGATATTGGGACTTTGAGATTCTCAGTATCAGCAGTATTTTGCTTTTGGTACACATAAAAGCAGCATTGTAGAAAAATTAATATGAGAGAATGCTTTTGTTACATATCCCATAACATGGCACCAGAGATGTGAAACACCAATCTGTATGGTGCCAGATGATGCTAGATCATATTTGATTAGAGCTCAAAGTTTGCAGGGATTCCCGAGATCTGGATCCAAGTGCCTTCCAGAAAATTTTGGATGTGAACTTGCCCACTGGAGCTTGCATCATAGTTCAACGTAGCAGTCAGGAGCAAAGTTCTTTAGATGGGTGGAGAAATTTGCGAGCAAACCACCAAACAGCAGATTAATACTAGTTATTAATACTGATGGAGAAAGAAAGACTGCAATCAGTATCATATAAGTAACCCAATCCTTCAATACAGACAGTACCTCTATCCACTTAGGTTTGGATCTCTGTTTTTTTTAAACTTGTCTCTACTTAAAAAGTAAATAAAGATATTATTCACCTCAGCTGAACATCCAATACAAGACTAATTATAACACGAGTTTATGCCTTTATAATACCTTCTACAAATTCCTGTGACCACATTTTATAATGACAATATCAAAAGGACAGAGGGCAATATGTCGAGACAGATCTGGATTGCCACATTTAGTTATCCTCTGCCAACACGTCCCCACAGAAGAGCCTACATCCTCTATGGCCACATCTAATTTATTCCAATTCCTCTATGCTATTAGCATTCCTCCAATTCATGCCTTAACCATTCTGGATTTTAAATCGAAATGCCACATTCCTAAGTTCTGGAATACACTTTCTAAACTTTTGTCCTATTTTTCTTGAATACATACTTTTAAATCTCTTTTTCAATAAGTTTTTGTTATCTGTTCAAAAATCTTGTGTCATCCTTTGGTGCTGTAAAGTGCCTTGAAACTGTTACA